GTCAGGCCCCTCCCACGATAGTTTGATTGACAGTAGCGTTTCAGCACAGACTGGACTGTGTCTTACCTTAGCTCCGTCCTGAGTGAGCTGTCATCAGTCCGCCATTGTTTCACCACTGGAGCAGATGTAGACAAGAATGACTCCTAAGCGATTGAGGTGTTCTGTTGTTGGATGTAATAATGAACATCGCAGTCCTCATTTACTCCCAACATCTGAGCCGCTGAACTCGCTGTGGATTACATTTGTTTCTGAAGGGAATGCACCCCCGATCTACATAAATGCGTCTGTTCGCGCGAATCATTCATGATTAGGGATGGGTATTGTTAAGGTTTTAACGGTATTACTACTCTTACCGATACTGCTTATCGATTCAGTACTTTAACGGTATTCTTATTGTTCAGGTAAGTAATAGCCTACAAAAGAAATCTAAAAGTAATCAAATGTAAATGAACACTGCATAGTTTTCAGTGTATGTATTGATAGATTAATGCTTATTAAAGCTATAACGTTATTCAGATTAAGAGCTGTGAGTGATTTTTCTCTTTGCATTTTGATGGCCCAAGTGCCAGTCTGTCACTTTAAGACAATATATTGACACACATCGGATTTTCTCCCAACTGTTTTCCTCCACTTAAGACATAAACTGTGTTTAAGTAAATACTCTCCAAGCCGGCCATTTTGACATATTTTTGTGTGTATTTGATCGATTGGCCATGCGCCCGAAGCTCGAAGTGTAATTTGTTTGTCCGTTTTGGAGTGCGCCGCGCGCACACATTTCAGCCTGAGGAACAGCGTCTCTTGTGCGGATTGTGCTTTCAACGTTTTATTATCAAACATGTCCCGCAATTTAGCAACAGTAAAGACGGCATCTTACAACAATCACCGATTGAGCTGATCCTAACGTTAAGTTTGGGTTTTAGGGAGGAACGAATGTGCACCGCTGTGAAGGGAAAGAAGTTGCGCAAGACGAAACGCAGCTAGTTTTTAATAGCTTTACTTCATGTCTTCTTTTGTATAATCCTTGGAAGCCAAAATCGAAATAAAATTTTTTTATTAGCTTAATAAAACCGCCATAGGCCTAAAGTGTAAGCAGATGTTTGAATGTTTAGTTCTCTCTTCTATCATAATTAAACAGGGCTTTCATGTTGCGCGTGCTGAAGCTCCTCCGCTTGAGCGCGATCTCTTCTGAATTGCTAATAGCAATAATGCATCATAGACAAATGTTTGAAAAACAGCTGGTGACTCTGGTGAGATAGAATTTGCAAGATAATGTATATATAGCAATAATAAATGTATGTGTGTTTTATTAATTTCTCCAGTACCGATAGCAGAACCGTTAACGTCAGAGCTTATCGATACTCCGGTCTTTCATAATTTAGCCCCGAGACCGATTAAATACCGGGTTTCGGTACCTATCCCTATTCATGATCCAGCCTCATCTACAGAAGTGAGTATAATGTTTTGCAATGAATCTTTGCAAATCGCCTTTCCTAATAATGTGCTAATTAGCAATTCACGATGAATGCGGCTAAAGTAAACAGTCTCTAAAAGCAGCTCGGAAGAGAGGGGCGGGGTCAGCAGAGCTCATTAACATTTAAAGGTAAATGCTACAAAAACGGCTTGATCTGAAAAGAGAAAGTGTTTTTTACACTACCATTGAAAATTTTTTTAGCCAAACTATGTTGCAGACTTTTCATTAAGACCCCAAAGAATCATATCAGCTTGTGGAAAATGGGCATCCTATGACCCCTTGCCTGTAGGCCTGTCGCGATAATTACTATATATGACCACAAAACCAGTAATAAGGGTCAAGTTTTCGAAATTGAGAGTTATACATCATCTGAAAGCTGAATAAATGAGCTTTCCATTGATGTATGGTTTGTTAGGATAGGACAATATTTGGCCGAGATACAACTATATGAAAATCTGGAATCTGAGGGTGCAAAAAAATCTAAATATTGAGAAAATCGCCTTTAAAGTTGTCCAAATGAAATATAATGCATATTACTAATCAAAAATTACGTTTTGATATATTTACGGTAGGAAATTTACAAAATATCTTTATGGAACATGATCTTTACTTAATACCCTAATGATTTTTGGCATAAAAGAAAAATGTTGACCCATACAATGTATTTTTTGGCTATTGCTACAAATATACCTGTGCTACTTAAGACTGGTTTTGTGGTCCAGGGTCACATATAAGGTAATGGTAAAAAAAAAAAAAAACTACAAAAGACATTCCTAGAAGGTTAGGAACTGGCTCCCCAAACAACCAAACGGGACTATGTGCTAATATTAGGGAGCATTCAGTGTTACTCTCATTCCTCCTTCAGTTACCACCAACGACTGCCTTAAGGCTCTCGGGATCCGGGACGCCACATGCGTGGTGCATTATGGGTTCCCCAGCTCCCCCAAGCTCTTTGGCAGCCGTCTGTTCTGCCTGTCAGAGAATTTCAGAAACCTTCCAGACATGGTATTTGCTTTGGTTTATCTTGTTCTGTGCATTTTTCTGAATATTTCTATATGTGTTCTATATAAGAGAGTGTGATGTAAGCTTTGCTTCGTAACGTCCCGCACAGGATCATGCCGAGAGCTCCTCTCCTGCAGCTCAGTCGGTGTTGCTGCTGTCGGAGCTGAACGCCCGTCACGTGTGTGGCGTCCTGCGGTACCTGAGGAGAAGCGGCGCGGTTCTGCCCCCTGAGCTGCTACAGTTTGCTCTGGGCGTCCAAATATTAGGGAGCATTCAGTGTTACTCTCATTCCTCCTTCAGTTACCACCAACGACTGCCTTAAGGCTCTCGGGATCCGGGACGCCACATGCGTGGTGCATTATGGGTTCCCCAGCTCCCCCAAGCTCTTTGGCAGCCGTCTGTTCTGCCTGTCAGAGAATTTCAGAAACCTTCCAGACATGGTATTTGCTTTGGTTTATCTTGTTCTGTGCATTTTTCTGAATATTTCTATATGTGTTCTATATAAGAGAGTGTGATGTAAGCTTTGCTTCGTAACGTCCCGCACAGGATCATGCCGAGAGCTCCTCTCCTGCAGCTCAGTCGGTGTTGCTGCTGTCGGAGCTGAACGCCCGTCATGTGTGTGGCGTCCTGCGGTACCTGAGGAGAAGCGGCGCTCTTCTGCCCCCTGAGCTGCTACAGTTTGCTCTGGGCGTCCAGCAGGCCAAAGAGGAGCAGAAGACAGACAGACCCCTCTGCTCCTCGCTCAAGAGCTTCGGCTTCTGCAGGTCTCTGCTTCATTGTAGTACTTCCGCCAGGTGTTAATAGTGTTAAATGCAAGTAGTTATTTGTAAAGAAGTAATACATCATTTGAAAATGTATTCTCATTCTCAACAGAGACAGCACAGTTTGTCCGGATAGACACATGATCAACAAATCCCTGGATCATCCAAAGCACCCTGACTCTGGGACTGTCATGGTTAGTTAAAAGAACTTAGAAATCATAAAGCCAAAAACCATATATTTTACAAGATGTGGAAAACATCTGGAATTCAGTCATTAAAAAGGAATCTGTTGTAAAATGTGGAATTTCAAGGAATTAGGCAAAATTTGGCTTTTGTACAAATTTTGTACAACTTGCTTTTTAACCACAAAAATGGTTATTTAAATATGAGGTCACCATTAAATGGGAATGTTCTGCATGTGTGAATGAATGAGTGATGCAGTTTCGTCTTCTACACATGCTCAATCCTCTCCTATTGAGCACTTTATTTGACAAAAATACAGGTAAGGGAATTAAAAAGTAAAGGGAAAAAAATAAAAGGTTACTTTTTAGTTACTATTTTATGCCACAGAATAGCTTTTCAGAATTTGTTCTTGCGTGTTTTGAGATCTTGTCATATTTTTTATTTTAATAGCACTAAATATTAATTCTGGACCTTTTGATTGTCACAGTTTGCCTTCTACTAGCAGTTGACTGTAAATGTTTCTTTCGACTTTCAAAAGGTTTTGCCGCTGTGCATAAAGTCAGCGAATGTGTACTCTGGCCGCATCGTGAGCCAGAAAGACGATGGTTATGAGACTCTCGCTGTTCAAATGAACGCACACTACGCTATTGAGAGACGCTGTGCTGTGGAAGTGCTGAAGGGAGAATTATATGCCGTTCAAGAGGAGAATATCTATAACCGGTAATCTCTCAGACGCCCTCTAGTGGGACACTTTACGTACACATCATTATGGAAGCCTTTTATTTATGTTTTACATGCAGTAGTACCTTTCAAATGTTTGGAATTTTTTTTTTTTTAGGAAAAGAACACTTGTATTCAGCAATTATGCATTAAATTAAACAAAAGTTATCAGAAAGATGATGTTACAAAAGATTTATATTTCTAATAAGTGCTGTTCTTTTGAACATTTTATATTAAGCAAAGAATGACGAAAAGATTGTCAGATTTCCACAAAAATATTAAGCAGCGCAACTGTTTTCAACATTGATAATAAGAAAGTTTCTTGAGCAGCAAATCAGCATATTAGAATGATTTCTGAAGGATCGTGTGACACTGAAGACTGTTATAATGCGTTGTATCGCAGGATGAAATTACATTTTAAAACATTAAAATAGGAAACAGTTACTTTAAAAATATTTCACATTATTACTGTTTTTACTGTATTAAATAAAATGCAGCCTTGGTGAGCAAAACACACTTCTTTCAAAAACATTAAACGTTTACCGAAGGGTTATGTATGTAAATGAATGAATTACATGTCAATTGAAAATATAAGTTCATGGGAAATAATAGTTTGATTGTATATCGGTTCTAGGGTGCGTGTGATTGAAGTGCCGGAAAAAGGAGAGCAGCTGTTCAGTAGCGTCACTGCCTGCTTCATAGATGAGGGCCGCACACAGGAAGTGAAATCACACCAGCTACTCCAACTTCCTCCTCAGTTTCAGGATTTGCCAGGCCAGGCTGTGGAGATCATCCTGTGCAGAGCGCAGCCTGTCGACGGGGAGGTGGACTGGAACCCGAAGGTCTCAATAGTCCTACTGAAAGAAAACATTTCTTCAGTTTGTACATAAACGGCTGTTTTAGAAAAGCAAAATGTTTATTTCAGGTGACCAGAGCCATCAGTCAGAAGATCAAAGGGAAGCTGCATCAGGCCAGGGTTGTGATGAGTGTGGGAAATACTGTCTGGGTTGATCCTATGGTAGGCGTTTAAGATGTTTGCATCACAGGCCTTACAAGGTTTTGCTGGTCCAGTCTGAAGACATTCTGGTGCTCTTTTCTGCATTTGTTTTCCTCGCGCAGGTGCGCATGACACGTGTTCCTGGTCTGAAGACCTACATTAATGAGTATAATGTCCATGCTGAGATCGTGGCCTCTGGGTTTGGTGTCAATAATCCTCAGCACTTGGACCTGCTGAAGAGAGTTTTCCAGGGAGACGAGAACGCAAACACGCTCCAGCACTTGACAGATGACAGGTTTATTACTATTGTTCAGATCAGTTCACAATGGAAAGGAATAGAAATATACATTTTGTCAAGAAAGTCAAACCTATTATTAGGTACATTATGAATTTTTTCATAGTTATTGTTATTTTTCATGATGAAATATTGAGGTCACATTTCACAATAGAAAGAAATAGAAATATATTTTCCTTTCGAAACGGTCTCCTACATTGCTTTGTCTCACACTTGGGAGGGAAACTCTTCTTCCGAATAGTGAAGCTGGATTTGTTAACGTTTGTGCAGCAAATTGCCTATATAAGTCATCGCTGAATGCCATTTCATCAGAATCTTTCTCCTTCAGCGCGAAGATCATCTCCACGCTGGACTACGAAGAGCGAAGAAGTCTGCTACTCGCCGAAGAAGAGCCCCAGCAGAGGAAAGACGCTCTCCCGCTCAGCACTTCTCCTCTGTGGCCATCTGGCGAAAATCCAGAGCTAATTTCTCCTTCTAATGAAGCAAATTTTGTCAATGTTCGCTTTAAAATGACGCGCCACAAATGTGCCACGTGCAGGACACCCCAGCATGCCTGGGCCGTGCTCACGCTGAGGCAGCACTCACAGAGTCAAAAAGCTGAGCAGACGGGCTCGAGCAAGCTCATGCCGGCGCATGGCCCGCATGCCTTACCTTCCCCGCAGCGACATGATTCCCCAGTGCTCTTCTCCCAAGAGGATCAGTGCCCCTCGTCTGGAGCGAGCTGTATGGTCACCTTTAGAGGATCTGAAGAGAATGCTCATCCGTCCTAGCCCTGCAGAACCACTTCAGCCCTAGCGGGTAGGGCCTACTCTGCAGCGGGACAGGCAGGCTCCACGCTTCACACTATGGCGGCCCTCCAGGTTATCCAGGCCAAACTCCTCCAAGCCATGGATGAGTCCGGCCCAGATCCAGTGACTTTCAGGGAGCTGCGCAGTGCAACTGACCTGGCCCTGTGCGCCACAAAGACCACAGCCCAGGCGATCGGTAGGTCAATGGCCAGTTTGGTGGTGCTTGAGCGCCACCTCTGGTTAAACCTGACAGAGATCAAGAATGCAGACAGGACTGCCTTCCTCGACTCCCCAGTCTCCGCGACCGGGCTGTTTGGACCCACTGTTGATGGTTTCGTGGAACGCTTAAGTCGTCGCAAGCCATGCACCACTTCTCGACTAAGCGCTCCAGCTCAGCGGCTGTTTCAAGTCACCACAAGGCTCTGTCAACTCAACAGCCTGTGAAGTCTGCTCTGTTGCCTGCTCAGCCTCAGTCCAAGCCCGAACCTGAGCTTGGACAGCACCCTCAGCCTACAAAGCGCCAGTGCCCCCGCCCCAAAGGGATGTTGGGACCTGAGCCGCAGAAGTCGTATTGGCCTGTCAGGAGAGAAGGGGAGAAGGCTAAGTCCCGCCGAGGCCGGACTTCCCTCGAAGAAGTCTCACATTTGCCTTCCAATCCCCCATTCAGCTCTGGGTGCTGGAGGCTTTGTTCATTGTGTCAACACTGAGCCCATCCCACTCACTTTGCATGTGCCCAAGCACCAACTACCACTGGGATAGCAGACCCACTGGCTATAAAGAGCACTTCTCCTCTTCGATACATTGCGATGGTCAGTTCCCTGCCTCTGTGTAGCAACCTGCCATCTGAAAAACTTCCTCCCCTTCCCACCCAGCTGGAGACTTGGGAAGCCATCCTGGGCACGTCAAGTTGGGTTCTACAGACTAGAACGAGGCTCCCTTCTTCAAGGGTGTGGTCCAAAATTCATTTCAGGACAACGATGCTCACGTTCTCCGTTCCGAAGTGCAGTGTCTTTTGGTGAAAGGAGCCGTCGAAACAGTCCCGCCGAGCAATTATTTCCTCGTCCCAAAGAAAGATGGTGGGCTCAAGCCCCTGAGATCCATTCAGGATGCTGACTTTGAAACGGATCTGTGTGTAGTTTTGCCCAGAGTACTGGTTCATATCAGTGGATTTTAAAGATCCTTACATTCATATCCAAATACCCCCTCAACACAGACCCTTCTTGAGATTCACGTTCGAGGGGTTGGCTTACCAAACTTCAGTATTAGTATTCATATTAGTATTAGCATTCGGAAGAGAATGGAGTTCCCCCCTAAGCGTGATTCAACGCAATGCTCATTCCTGTTATCTCAGGAAACCAATATTGCGTTAGAAACCGGAGCAATTTTGTGTCAAGAAAACCAAACAATAACAAAATAACAAATTTATTTTTATTTTCTATGCTGATTCGCTCCCCAACAGAATTGCCCAACTAACTTTAGAATTAATAATTATTATTTACATATATATATAATAAACACATTCTTTTTTTGTTTGACAGGTTTGAGAGCCCTTCGTCATCCTCACAGCAGAGAATTGAGGTTACAGAAGACGTTCTGACCAGTAGGATGAAGGATTTAGTCAGCAGTCATAATGCCATGGACTTCAGCCAGACTCCCATCAGCCCCCAGAACAACAGTGCTGTCCAGTGCAATGGAGACCTGAAGGACAGTGATGATGATGATGAAGATGAATCTTCAGAGGGAAGCATGAATACCATGAGGTTAGTATATATTTAACTGATGTATTCAAAAAAAATATCACCTGAATGTATTTTAGAATGTCTTGTTTAAAGGGGTCATATGATGCTTTTTTAAAGATCATTATTTTGTGTATTTGGTTTAACAGAATATGTTGACATGCTTTAATGTTCAAAAAACACATTATTTTTCAAATACTGTACATTATTGTAGGTCCTCTATGCCCCGCCTCTCTCAAA